TTCATCGAGAAAAAAACCTTTCCTGGCTAGACCCCCCCTGGCTTCGACCCCATTCAAAAAAAGGAACACGCCAATGTTTGCTGCACACTCACCGTTGACTCGCCTTCGGCTCGTCAAAAGTTTGCAAAATGGGTCAAAACTCCTTTGTTATGGCACCGTGTCACCATCTTATTTTTTCTTATTTTTTCTTATTTTTGATCGGCCAACCCATCTTATTTTTTCTTATTTTTTCTTATTTTTCTTATTTTTTCTTATTTTTTCTTATTTTTGATCAGCCAACCCATCTTATTTTTTCTTATTTTTTCTTATTTTTCTTATTTTTCTTATTTTTTCTTATTTTTCTTTCTTATTTTTTTTATTTTTGACCCATAAGAAAAAATAAGAAAAAATAAGAAAAAATAAGGAAAAACAAGAAGAAAATGAGAAAAAAAAGTCAGTTGACAGGGTAATTTTTTTGCATCAACTTGCAAAATTTTGCACATTTTCAGCGTGCTTGGAAGGCAGCTGTTGGCCAAAACAATCATTTTTTGATGCGTATTTCATCGTTGTCAATGGCGCCAACTCAAGCTCCACCAGTCCCAGTTTTCCACACCCCTGGTGCCAACTCAGGTTCCCCCAGTCCCAGTTTTCAAGATCCCTTGCGCCAACTCAAGCTCCCCCAGTCCCAGTTTTCAAGATCCCTGGCGCCAAGGGATCTTGAAAACTGGGACTGGGGGAACCTGAGTTGGGGCCAGGGATCTTGAAAACTGGGACTGGGGGAGCGTGAGTTGGCGCCAGGGATCTTGAAAACTGGGACTGGGGGAGCTTGAGTTGGGGCCAGGGATCTTGAAAACTGGGACTGGGGGAGCTTGAGTTGGCGCCAGGGATCTTGAAAACTGGGACTGGGGGAGCTTGAGTTGGCGCCAGGGATCTTGAAAACTGGGACTGGGGGAGCTTGAGTTGGCGCCAGGGATCTTGAAAACTGGGACTGGGGGAGCTTGAGTTGGCGCCAGGGATCTTGAAAACTGGGACTGGGGGAGCTTGAGTTGGGGCCAGGGATCTTGAAAACTGGGACTGGGGGAGCTTGAGTTGGGGCCAGGGATCTTGAAAACTGGGACTGGGGGAGCTTGAGTTGGCGCCAGGGATCTTGAAAACTGGGACTGGGGGTCCCTGTTTTCAAGATCCCTGGCGCCAACCCAGGCTCTCCCAGTCCCAGTTTTCAAGATCCCCTGGGTGGAATTTTTGAAAATTTACGAAAAATTATAGTCAATTCAGCGCAAAGTTTGACAAAAAAAATTGAGAAATGTGGTCGGTTGACAACATTTTTCAATTTGTTTTTGTCAAGTTTGGGTGCATTTTTTCGCGGAAAAAAATTGTTTGGCGGTTTCATCACAATTATTTTTGATCAAAAGCTCGAAAAAACCTGGTCACCCGATCACATTTTTTCAAGATTAACTGTCAAAATTTGCGATCGGTCAGCCAGATTTTTTGCCAAATTTGCAAAAAAAACCTTCCACATAGAACATATTTTTCACCTAGGTATCGTGGGAACTGAGGGATCCACAAACTGAGGGACCCAACCCACCTGTAGGTGGGAATTGTGGGATTGGAGGGGTCATTCAATGAGGAATTTCAAGGGTTTGAAATGGTCTTCGTTGCCAGTCATTTAAACAAAACATTTTCACTGGCCGGTGGCCGCGAAAAATACTTGTTTTTTGCCAACTCGGTCATGGGGACAGCGGGGATTTCAGATTCAGAGATAGCCATTGCTTCTTGAAATCCACCGTATATTTTTTATTAATGAAGGAATACAGTTAATTTGTTATACTTGTCACGCAGTGTTCGGCCGCGCCCTTGGATCATTATATGTCGGCATTGGCTAAAACTGGGGCAAAATAACCTAGTTTAAAAGTGCCGGATTGGGTTCGGGAATGTCAAAATTGTAATTGAAATTGGCCCCCCTCGACATTGTCAAAAGACAGCTCTGCAACTTCATTTTGGCATTTGTTTTTATCATTCATTTTTGGCCGAATCAACTCTGAGGAAAAAAGGGATTCCAAATGCAACCAAACTGCCAGGGACACGGTTTGGAAATCTGGCATTGTAACCAATCAACAATCAATCATTTTGAAAGCCAAAACAAACAAAAAGTCAAACTGCATTAATTAAGTCCAGGAAATTCGGATTGTTGGACTGCGCGGCAACACCACTTGGCCAATGATTCGGCATTGGCATCCCGGGCACTTGGCTGCTGGAGAATGATGCCACAAAATGGGCAATGATCTCACAAGCCACAAGGCAAAAAACGATGGCCACTGGCTGCTGGAGAATGAGGCCACAAGATGGGCAATGATCTCACAAGCCACAAGGCAAAAAGGATTGATGGTAGTGAGTCTGCGACTCTGCGAGATGATGGTAGTGAGTCTGCGACTCTGCGAGATGGCCAAAGAAATCTACGCGAAATCCTCACGTTACTTCATTCTGCTGATATTGCCGAGTTGCTATGGTTTTTACGCTCTAGCCATTCATCGGATTCTGTCATGATCCTGCAATGATCTTCATCAATTCATTTCCAACCCCCGGGGACCATCCCCCCATTTTCAATCAATCATGATGAGGTCTAGTCAAAGTCAATCATTCTGAGCCACTGGCAGTCAACAACCCCGTGCTATCTGATTCACCGACAGTCACAGTGCGTCGCCCTACGCAAGTCAAGATTCGAACCGATGGCGGCTTAAGCTTTCTGTCACCGGATACTCGTACTGACTAAGCGACGTTGTGATGACTTGGCTTGACTTGTCAATCATTGAATCAGAACTGAGTTCTGGACAAATGTGTAACGTCTCAGGCAGGCTTGTCAAAATGACTCATCAATCAAAAGGCACAACAATCTGAACGAATCTGCTGTGGATTGGCAGGTGAATCATGTCACACGGGTGGACAATCATCACACACATTACATTGCTGAGTCAACGAGTCAAAGATTCCTTAATCACAACAAGAATGATAAGTACTGGAAAATTAACATCCATCTGTCAAAAAAGAAATTGAATCATGCAAGATGTTGTTCGATTTAAAGTGTTTGCCTCATTGACTTCTCAGAGTGAGTCAAACTGAAAGTCTCTTCCTCTTAGCCGCCTTCTCGGCCACACGTTTAATGCGTTGTTCCGGATCACGCTTGCAAAGTGGTTTTGCATCCAGAGGATGGAAATATGGCTTTGGAGTCCCGTAGACAATTGGATTTTTATGTTCCCAAGTCCAAATGTCTTTGTAGTCAATGACAATCCAATCATGGACATGATGGCGGTCGGCGCAATCTGAACGAACGAGGTTCATGATCTTCCAAAGGACCATCTCGAACATGAGCCAGCAAAAAACAACCAACGATTGTCACCTCTCCCAGGAGCATTCCACCAGGCCCACCTTTGAATGACAAGGCTTTGACCTGAGTTCCAGGTCTTTTCCATTGTGCAAGATCTCGTGGGCCCACTCAGGTTTCATCAGCAATGCAGAGGTTGGCTCTGTAGTCGTCATAATTGAGAAATCACTGTCTAAATGTAGTCAAATCAAATGACTTGAGCCAATGAATACGGTGTCTCTGATAAATGTCTTAAAAACCTGAAGCTTAACAATGAAAAAGTGCACCTGACTCCCTGACCAAAAAAGAAATAAAATGACTTAATGTAAAAGTTAATTCATTTTTTTTTAAAAAATATCTTTAAAAAAAACCTATCAAAAACTTATTATTTCTTATTTTTCTCTTTTTTTCTCTTTTTTCCTCTGTTTGAACAGTATTCAAAACCTTTCCTGGC